TTTTTTCTTTGTCTCTCTTCCCTGTTTTTAAAAAAAAAAAAAAAAAAAAAAAAATTCACAGCCAGCTTTTTCCATCAGTACATTTCAATAAAAACAAAGTATAAAGGCAGTCAGCAAATGAGAGATGGGTTAGAATCAATAAGGCTCATATTGTAGGTGCAATTTTTTTTTTTAATTCACATTTTATCATTGGCCCTTTTGAAATAGTCTTCTCACAAAATGAATGGGTTTTGGCTTGCAAAAATTGCTCTCAGAAGAACACTACCGCTTTTAAAAGCAGTGCTCCATAAGAATATACATCTCCACTTCTTGGTCTTCTCTAGGCTATGGAAATACCTGCTCAGTGTGAGCGGGCGACGGGGGTGCTGAGGCAAGGGTCTTCTATTGCTACTCTTCAAGCCGTGTTCATTTCCCTCCTTGCTTTTTGCAAATGGAAAACGAGCACAGATGCGGCTTTCCTACAGTCATTGTTCCTCGTTTGGCGAACCAGAGAGATGCCAATTTATTCTCCCCTTGATCGGTTCTCACCCAGAAGATTAATTTCTAACCTTCAGTATAGCAAGAAGCACAGAAACAAAGCAAATGGATGAGAGTTTTACAGCCTGACGTACGTGATAATGCAAGTCGGCCACCAGGACAAGCTTACCGACTACAACAGGCTGGACCTGGGAACACGACTTTGCTTTTTAAGAACTACAGGACAGCAGAATCCCTGCTTCCTCACTGAAGGGAAGGCATTTCAAGTATTAGTTTTCCCAGTCAGTCTTCCTGCTTCCACAGGGAGGGCTGAAACGCTGCAGGTTCTCCAAAGAGAAGTGGCAGAAGGAAAACACTTTAAAGAAACACTGGTGTAAGATGCATTTACGTAGAGTGCTGCACCGGTGAGGGGTTTGCATATCTATTGGCTTTTAGATCTACCTTTCAGCAGGGCTCAATGAAAATAGGCGGAGGCCAAAATCTATTTTAAAAAGGTTAAAACATAAAAAAAAGTTGTGGACAATTACAAAAATGTTGCTTAGCAGCAGCCAGCCTCTGACCAGTTCTTTCAGTAATGGCATTAAAAAACAACCTGATTAATAGTTCAAGACATAGTGCTAGGCAGAAACCTTTTCTCAGTGTTAACAGCTCCCTTGCACTCTTCGTTCTGCTCTTTCACTGCCCACTGAGAAAGGCCAGATGTCCTTTGGTGCATCTGTTGGCATAATGACCTTTTTCACCACACTAGAAGAGAAAGAGAGAAAGGAGTTATTACACAGCTACAGCTTTTTCTCTCTAGCTGCCTTTATTAAGGTAACCGTTCCGATTTGGAAGCTCTTCTGCGTATGGAAGATGCAGCATTTAGCAGGTGAAGTGAAGCACGGTGTCACAGGGACAGGACTTATGGGCTATTTCTACTTCTTGGAGCAAAAGCTGGTTCTGTGCTGGGAGCAACCTGACGCCATGTTAATATAATGCAGTACAGAGGAGAGAGCTCTCAGCGCCCCGCTGCAAACAGCGAAGGGCTGTAACACGCAAGAATTTCAATGTTTGAGGCTACCGAGACTACTCCATCTGATGTGCACTATATCAGAGACACATGGGGGCTCTCCTGATGGGCTATCCTGAATTAGACGGAGAAAAACGCATCTGAACAAGAGATTCATGACACTGCACCTTGAAGCTATCCAAGCCCAGAGAGAAATGCCAGTATCTGATGCTACAGCATTCTCCAGATACGTAATTTACTTGCAGCTAAAACAATAAGCAGCTATTAAGGCTTTTCAGTGAAATGGATTCAGCTACTTAATATCCCTGTCCAATCACAATAATTTTTACCCAAACAAGCACCTAAGGCACAGAAGCTGGCATGTACAACGATGTAACTGTCAAAAGCTGATGGAACAAGGAAGATTCTTTGCCCTTTTCTAGCGGCTAGGGTTGGGGCTTTTGTGGAAAAATAACCAAAGATGGAAACTCGATTGTGTCAAAGTTTTACAGGTGCTCCTCAATGAGCAGCCAAGGTGAATAGCTCATTCTGTCGTTTGACAGCAACAAGGTGCGTTTACAGCTGAAATACTGAACGGTCTTTGCATATTCAATTTCTGTCACTCGCAAGGACCTTCCATGCTAACAGGGGAGAAGAAAATCTTTCTACAGTCACCAAGTATAAGCAAATTAACTCATGAGAGAAAACTAATATTAGCTCTTATTTTGAAATGTACAGTTAGTCAGTCTCCTTTAACTGTCATTGTGGTAGGGCTTCCTGCTTGTTAGCAGACAAGCAAAGTCTGTCCTACAGCAGCCTTAATTGTCACAGCGAGTCCATGAGCTGGCAAACCAGCGACCTAGAGGCCTCCAAACTCAATGCTAATTCCCACACCTGTATCCACGCACAAAATTCAACGTCTGTTGAACACAAGGCACATTTCCTGAACCTGTTCACACTGTGAAAAAAACCTTTTGCGGTACCAACACCCCTCATCACAACAGTCCATTCCTTTGCCTGTGACAAGCAACCAGCAGCAAAGCAGCATGATGTAGTTCAGGTGACGCGCACTCCGTACTTCTTAAACCTACCACCCTCTGCTTTCCCTCCTCGTCCCTCCCCTCTGAATTACCTTGTAGCAGGTGACCTGCTCCAACGGCCGGGGTCCTCTGTTCCCAGTGTTGTTATTTTGAGACTGCATGACTCCGATGACTTGGGGTGTCCTCTGTTGGTTAGAAGAGTTCCGACTTGTTAAGTGCATCAAGGATAAAGACCTTTATGGTTGTTATTTTGTTAAGAAGGGAAAAGAGCACCCCATATATCAAATGATCAATGTTCCTCCAAATCTGCGTGTGGGTGCTCTGCCAGCTGGAGCACCAGAGAGAAGAAATCGAGCACTGAGGCTTACAAAGCCCAGAGATCCTGCTTTTCTCTGGAAAGCAGATTCAGAGAGTAGGTTTAGGCTGCTAAAATATCATTGCCATCACTGAGAGATGCCACGCAGATTACAAAAACTGGCAGATTGCTGCACAACCACGTATGATGTGCTTCAAGGTAATGTGGGAGTGTTCTGTGACTAGATCTCCATGTAAAGTTGGAGCAACTGTAGGGCCTTCATCACTATAATGGCACGCAGCATTGCTCACTGCTTAATTCTTGCATAGCACCCTCCCTGCCAGGCAGTACCCCAAGCCACAGAACTGCCACTGCTGGCCTCTGAGCTGGAGGACAGTACTAATGACTGAGAAGGTTAACCAAGGCGAGGGCAGAAACAGAACAAAGCAAAACACCACGGTCCAAGGATTAAGGCAGCAGCCGTCCCTTGTGATCAGATGGTGGACATTAGAGGGCTGGGAGGAGGAGAGAGAAGGGACAGTGCTTTGCGGTTTATTGGGATTTGTCTCCAAGTTCTTAATTACAAAAGAATATCACACCCCGTTGTAAAACAGGAAAGGTTTTCCCTCATTCAGTGAGTATTTCACCAAGGCTTTCCAGCAAGCGAGATCCAAGAGCCCAGGTGTCCAGTTCTGACCACTAGACAACATACTCTCTTTTAAATCACTGTGGGAAATGCTTCAAGGGTGGGTGTGTAGGGGAGGCAGGGGAATTGTGTACCTTTTGCTGTGTTTGTGTCGGCTGAGGCAGCGGTGGTTGCTCTGTGGTTCCCATTGGCAGTTCAAACCGAGGGCTGGTTTAGATGGAAACAAGAAAATTAATTCTCAAATCATACACCAACATTTTACCATCAGCTCAGTCAAGTAGCTCCAAACAACAAAACATTCAGCCAATTAAATTTGGCTTACAGGAAATAGCCCTCCCCACTTCTCTTTGCATTCTGATACTTGGCAATTACATATGCCAAAATGACAACCCAGTATGTTGTATATCCCTCTACCTGTGAAGTCTTCTGGAATATAAACCCATGTGATCCCACTGCACTGATGGCATCTGATCACCACTCCAGAGTCTTACTGGTAACTCCCCATATCCTCAAATCGGTACAACAAACTAAACGTTGGCCAAATCTCCAAGGGCATTGGGAAGCACTGGAGCGCCCTCGCTCAACATATACCGGATTACAAGGGAAACACAAGATTACAGGACGAGTCTGGAAGCATACTCACTGCATGAATTTACAGGTAGGTCCCTCTGGACAGAATCCTACTAGGTAATTCACACAAATGACTCTTCGAGTGTGTCGGTGTCTGCAGAGGGGACCTGAAACACAAAGGTCAGTCATTCATGTTCCGCATATACGTACCCCAGCACTCAGTAGCAGCAGGTACACAAGCAGATCACACAAAGAAAGAATAGCAACACCCTACCCTTGATTTATAGCCACAGAAGCAGCAACTGTGCAGCATACATACCATGTTTACAGAAGCCTCTGTCATACCAGGGACAGTCTTTGATCTTAGACTCCGGGTCAATGTGCAAGAATGGACATTCTTTGTTACTGCATTCCCCTGTACCAAAGGCAAACACACTTCTTAGTCAATTGTGCAGGTTCGAGATCAAATGACTCCCAAAACATTACCTGGATCATGTAGCTCCCACAAAGCTGTTACCAGCATTTATAAGTTCAGGCACAACAGTCTTACTGCCTGCCTTAACCTAGATGAAGAACACCAAGGACTCACCGGCAGTGAGTAAAGTTCTACCAGACTGGATTATTTATGTGTGCTTTTAAAAATAATGCGGAAACTAAATTTGAAAGAGCAGTCATGATAACAAAAACCAAACATTTAGTGCACCAGAAGTGTGGAGAAACTACAAATTGCGCACTAACCTCAATCCAAGGAAACCTACAAGACTGTAAGTTTCTGACAGCAAGTTGCCTCATTATGTCCAGATCTCCAGAGCTGGAAAGCAAGTGCATAAAAGTTTTGCACCCCCATGCCCTCTGCTGCTCATCAACTCCCCAAAATAAGAGTCATGCAAAGACCAACTGCTCAGCCTACTCATCTCATACCCAAAACAGAACATAAGGCATAAAACCCAGTAAAAACTTGAACTTCCCCCCTCTTCCCCCAAGGAACAAGCTCTTGAGAGAGAAGATATCTACAACACGTCACAAACTTAGGGGGATAATAAGGTGACGGACTAAGCAGATCTAAAAAAGTACAATCTAACAATATCATCAGACACAGACGAACTGTAATGCTCTGAAGACGGACGAGAGGGATGTATCGGGATCCTCTTCATCAGACTCCCATGCCAGCAAGGAATGCTAAGTAGGAGCTACAATGCCCCTTACCAAATTTGGAGTAGAAGTAACACTCAGGCATCTTGGTCATGTCGTACTCGTGCAGAAACTCGCACTGGTCTCCCTTTTTGCACAGTCCTCGCAGCCAGTGTTTGCAAACAACTGTCTTTTCCCCACTGATGTGTCGGAACGGGCACATGCCTCCTGCAGAAGGATGGGACAAGGAGAAGGAAAAAAAGGAACAATTAAAATCTGCGGCACATGAAGGCACAGGACAACAGCAACACCTTGCTCCCCTCTGCAACAAGGGTTTCAGAAGACATCACTTTTTCTTTCACCTTCAGTGGCAATGGCAAAACAGGGAGTTCCAAACAAGTCTTATGTTACCCTCTAATGAGCTAAGCAACGTAGTCTCCAGCCCTTAATCCTGGCAACCACAAACCACAGCAACTAATACAGGCACATCCACAGCAAGGTCTATGTGGAAGAAGTTCAAGCCTTCCTTTACCACTAGCTTTGCTTATTCACCTCCCAGCTTCTTAAAAAAATACCATTATTTCACAACTGCTACAGTTATTCCAACATCCTTCAGTTTTACCCTCTATCTAGGTTATCCCCTCATCTTTACAAGAGACAAGAGTACTGTAGACAGTGCTAGAAAATCTAGTTTCTCCCCTCCACCCCCATGAGTATAATTGTATTGAAAACATTACTTGCCTTTTCCACAGGCCGCCTTTAAAAAAAATTCACAGACCGCTGCACCCGATTCTGTGGAGAGAACAAAGAAATATAATTAATTTTAACAAAGTTTCACGTCAACGTTTAAAATATTTCCTTCCCCAGAAAGGCAATCTGGTCCTCAACATCAAAAGAAAAGCACCGTTTTGGTTTGGGGAATTTACTTTCCCACATAAGTTCCTTGTTTAAGTCTGGCCCTCGCAAATATCTGTATTCATCTTGGAGGACATCAAGGGGAATTTGCAGAGGTTTGGTGCTTGTTTTACTTTTTGGATATTTGGGTTTTATTGACTGGGTTTTCCTCTGCTGTTAAGTCAATCATGTCAGTGCACCCTGTATTTACAGTCCTGGCACTGACAGTCTTATATTTTTTTTGACCAGAACAGCCTGAAACAACCATTAGTGCGTTATCCCTTGCTGATCCTGATCAACAGGTATCACAACGTTCAACAAAATTAAAATGGAAGTTTAGTAGCCCAGCCAGAAAATTCCAGCAAACTACAAGTCTCCTGAGATTACCTGTGTCAGATTATTGGACTGAAGGAAAAGGTTTGGAGACTAGGCCATGGATATATCTAAAGATGAAGCCTCCCTACCATCAAAAAGCCTCATCTATCAAAAGGGAACGAAAAAAAAAATAATAAAAGTACTGTGCAGGAGAGTGATGTTTATTCACAATAATGCCTCAACTTTCATCTTCCAGCCTGGCTGGGTGCTAACTACAGCTTTCATTAAGTAGGAAAGAAAAACATCTGGATTGAGAGAGAAACCTCACAGGAAAAGCAGAAGTTGAGTGGATCTGAGGATAAGACCTGAGCAAGGCGCTCAGAGCCCCGGAAACCTCCCTCCCTCCCTCGGTCCCACCCGCCCCCCCGCCGCCTCAGCCACACCCGGGCTCCTCCCCGGCGGGAGCCCTGACACGGCCCCAGCCCCACGGAGGG